TACCTCATCTATGTCATGGGAGGCGAGATCATAGAAGGGTTGACAATTGCGTCGACTGGTGCGACGATCAAGTCTGAGTAAGCAGCTAACTACCTTATGGCTCTATGTGAGGTAAATCTGGGTTGAATCCAGAGAGGCAACGCAAACCTGACGCGAGGGGATAATGAAATTGTATGATATTTGAAGTAATCTTGTATCCAAAGTATTAGTTAGGTACGGATTACAAGGCGAAGTACATATATAAGGTACCCATTAATAATTCATGCTCATACTCTTCAATCGACCCTAGAAACAGCCCCTTTTCTCCCCAAGAGAACTCATAAATCCTTCAACGCCTTATTAAACATCTCATCGTGATAAATTAGTAACCGCACAAACAATGCATCCGAACGCCCGACCTAAGGAGTTCCCATGTTACTCAGTGGGTATCTATCATTCACCGTCAAAGTAAAGGTTCACACTCCAAATTCTCGTACCCCCGGCTCTGTCACACTTCACCATTCCTGGGTTGTGTCGCTGAAGGAGCTTTCACTTTCAGCGGCAGCAAACCCGGCACCCCAGAACTAAATTCCGTAAGGCCGCCGAGGTCGTTATACTGTTCCCACTCAGGATGGACATCATTAACCATCCAGCTCGAAGCCTTGACTTCCATAACGGCTTTAACGTAGTCCCACGACGTAGGGGTTTTCGGGGCCGGCATCTCAATATGCGAGGCGACGCTGCTCACCTTGCGGATATTCAATGGGGCGGGCTCCATGAATTTTCGCGAGTCGCTGTCGACGCTCCTTGACCGCCGCCTGATCAATCCGCAGGAGACCTCGAACGGGGCGTCGTCCTGGAGCTTCCGTCGAATTCCAGTACATGAAGACCCGGGTCGCCGCTGCGTTGGCTCTTGACTGGAGCAGCCCTTCCCGTGCCGTGTGTAACTACTACTAGCACGACGGTGAGAGCACAGACACGCCTCTGCCAGACTCTCGTAGACAGATGTAGATGTATCCGAGGTTTTCGCAACGCTGCTTTCTTCGGATTTCCTCAAGTCAGAAGTGCTACTAGAATAACGAGAAGACGACGTCGATACTGGTTCTTCCGCTATCGTTACGCGTGATTCCGGCGGACGTAGATCCCCCAACGAGGGCTTGATGTCGTTCGTGCCGTTCCCGTAGCCTTGCACAACGATCTCGTGATACTGTGCCTGACGGACCGGATGTGATATCCTGCCTGGCTGAGGTTTAGTAAGTTTGGTCATTGAACGTCGAGTTGAGAGACTTCGGGAAAGGTTGCTAGTAAAACTGCCCCTCCAGCTTGTAGCCCTGCGAAGTCGTGAGCCCCCGTCTCTAGCTTCGCTCGTAGACATCTGGCGACGAGTGAGGGCGAAATAGTCAATGTCCGGTTTAATCTCGAAGCTGCGCTGACGCGGGGTCGGGCTTCCATGAGAAGCCCGTTCTAAGGGCGGTATTGGAGAATTGCGGCCAATATGATCGGTTTGGCTTCGAACAAGGGTGCAGATAGGTCGTTCTTCATCCCATGGAGGCAGGTCGGCAGTGGATATGCAGAGATGATACGGAGAGTGAGTAGCGTCACGAACTTCCGGTGGGATTTCCGTTGCTTGCCGGAGAGCTTGATAGGTTGCATATATCAAGATCCACCGAACTTTACGACTGTCCATAGGTCCCAGGTTTTCAAACTTGTCTGCTTTTGTGGACAAGTAGACAAGGTCTTCTTCGAATTGGCGATATAACCGTACCAGACCGTTTTTCAGGAGGCCAGCCCTCTGGTTCGTAGCTGTCAATAGGGCGGCATGCGTGTTTTCTTTCCGTTTTCGATCTGATTTCATTGGCGCACCCAGCCACGACATTCTTTTCGTATTCTCTTGTGGTACCTTTGGTAGGAGTGGAAGTGGATGGAACAGAGTCTTGAATTCATGCGTCGTGTCGAATGATTTTATACTCTGCCAAGTGCAGATCCCCCCTTCTGTTAAGAACGGAGTGTCCTGGCTGGTATCGAGCGTCTCGTCTACTAAGTAATGGAAAAGAGCCTCGAAATCTTCCCTCATCGTCCGGAAGACTTCCACCTCGAATATCCTTGTCTGATAATTAATTGACGGAGGCGGGTAAGAGCCAAACTTAACAGCGTAGAAATCGTGCAACAAAGTTCGGAGCCGTTCAAGGTGTGCTCGAGCGCCGGCATATAAGCCAAGGTGCGCCTCCGACAACTCATATCGAAGAAAAGTTCCTACCATGTTTGCGCTCTGCCCTAGCCTAAGATTCATCTCAACCCGAGCACAACGGATGAGCTGCCGGGTTCCGGGTGACACGAGCTAGTCTTGGTTAGCAAGCTTCTTGACGCAACGGAACATACGCACAAACCTGATATTCAGATGAAGTGGGTAGTTGGTCGCTCATACCACAACAATGTGCAAAAGCGTCGATATAGAGGCCTCTCAGCTGGAAGATTTCAGCTAGACGTAAGATAGCTAGAGCGTGCGTCGGATGGTTTTTGAAATTGAGATATCCCTCTTCATCCAGATAACTCATTAAGTCCTGAACATTATCTACTCCCTCGGTACGAAACTCATGCATGCTATGCATGAGGGTGATTAGCGAATCCCCTAGATTCTCTCCGACCATGGATCTGCGGAAAACGTAAGCAATAAAGTTGCGAGTTGCTAGGTGATATTCATATGACTGTTGCTTGTCTGATGGAGGAGGCGCTGGGATGAAGAGCTCGATCCGACTCCGCCTTGCTGGATCGGCATTGTCATCTTGAACATGACCGGCTGACGCTACTATATTTCGACTCATAAACCTGTCGATAAAAGGATAGCAGTCTGCTTTTAGAAGCCCAGAGAATGGCACCTTAAAAGCAGGACCTCTACGACTCTGCCCTTGGCCGTAGAGATGGATGTAGCAATTCCCATCCCGATGCCATAACTCAGGATCCTATATTTGACCCGTGAGCTTAGAACTTCATCAAACAGGAGATCGTTTGGAAACATACCCTTTTTAGGTTATCCCAAGCATTGCTTGACATCGCGGCACCATCCCATCTCCTGACGCTAGACATCCGAGATGATCGCAATTCAGGAGTCTTGTCGGACTTCTTCGTCTTCCAGCCTCGCGATCTGTTCGAAATACCATTGTATAGAGATAACTCCCGCGTGAGCGATCCATCGACACGGTGCACAGAGCGGGTAGAGATGGGACGAGAGCGGCCGCTTGCGTCCACCATTGCGTGATAGTCGCACCTACACTTTTACCGAAAGCTTGATTCCCAACGCCTAGACTATAGACTATTGGAAACGGATACCTAACGCCTAAAAGTCTGTCCTAAAAGCCGACCGACCTAAGCTTAACACTCTGCTGGTTTCCGAGACGTTTCTTTCCAGCAGGTCATAGCTGAGACCTTAGGGTTTCGCCATGGCGTTGAGTATTTGAACTGGAGCGAGCGAAATCGAGTGTGTATATGAAGACGTCAATCATTTTGAACATCTAAAACCTTGTGTAAGGTAATGCGTAGTCCTCAGAAATATATGATGGATCGACGCCTTCCACGCAAGCTCGGGTGTTCAAGCTCCCTATTCCGCAACTTATTTCTTCCCGGGACCTAAAACGTCCGCGTCGTAATACTAGCGCGAACCATGAGCTTGACGGAGCAGGCTATTACCATGATAGAGGTAGTCTATTGGCGATCTGTTGCAAGCCACTATCTGTACCAAGAGGTCGGATAACATACCGGAGGCTCTATGATCCCTGTCTTGCTGGGATGCGGTTCTTAGGCATAGTACATGATATCTCGGGGTTCAGATGTTCTTATGAAATGTTAATAATATTCCGTATGCCCACACCATTCATCGTGTCGAGATCCATCTTGGGAACAGGACTCTGAGCTTGTAGATGCCTGATGAATACCGTCTTGGAGTATAGATGTCTGCCCTGCAAAGTTGTCATGATTCTATGCATGTACAAAGAGACTGAATTTCTCTGAAAACCTGCGAATCTTATTCTCGTCGAGTGTTTCGGTGTGTGGCACCCGGAAGGCAAATCTTGAACGACCAACCCTTACTTGATGCATGCAACATTCGGCGCTCGACTGAAGAAGTGAATTATCTTCGATCTATTCCACAACCTTGTCTGTTTGCCTATCTTATTAGGACATGTGGCCAATGGCTAACCTAACGACTCAATTCAAAGTTTGCTGTAAGATTCTGGCAGTTGACTCTCTCATCAAACATGGGATGAAGATGAATCAGAGAAGGGTAATGGAAGTTGATAGTGTTTCCGGTAACCGAGGTCCTTTGGTGTGACGCCGGACAAACTGCCTTGTAGCCGATGAATACTCGAGAGCAACGCTGAGTTGGTTTCACAAAGCGCCTTGGCTTGCTTATCTTGGAAATGCTGTCCAACGCATTCTGTGTGACGAATTTGACGAAGCGATCGTCGGATGGTTCCGTGTCCTCAACAGAGAATATGATAGTCCGCAATATAGCGCAATTGTATACCGGCAGTAACTTCATCGATGGTTCTGTTATGGTAGGACCATTCTTCTACTACGTAAGACCAGTCAAATTCTGAGCCATTTATGTTGTCATTACCCCAAAGTAACCGAATAATGAGGCGAGGAGGATCTCGAGTAGATAGTAGATGAGGCATGTTCCACGATACGGATTTGTCGTACCTGGATGCTGATCGTTTGAACTTCCCCAATAAAGCACTAGATGAGGAGCGTTACTGGGCCTGGCGAGTTAGACAGCATCTCAAAATAATTTCACGCAGAACCTTGGAGACTTCTCTCGCCATGTGTATCTGCATGGTGTAAGTCCAGGTAACTCCGACTCCTTCTAGCCGTAGTCTTGTAAAATTAGTGAAATATAACGGGGGCAAGATTCATATCAACGGTTCAAGGATTGATGAGATAAGAATTCAAAATAATTAGCGACGGGCACTCTGGCTCATGACGTCAAATAGATCCAAAGATTTGAGAAATAGAGCAAAAATTGAAGACGACACCTGTGTGATTCGAACACACGCCCCCGAAGGGAATGCCTACACTATCTTGAACATAGCAGGGCATCGCGTTAACCACTCCGCCAAAGTGCCTCTAGTCATGCGACTGGTTGTGAATTTGGTCAATTAATTTTCTCTATATGGTAACAGTTACTGGCAGACAATGCAAGTGCAGCGAAATCCCCACTGTGTGGGGACTTATGGAATCGGCTGTTACACTTAGTGCACCTACCGCGTAATTAAGCGGGGTTGACAATCTCAATGTTCGGTAGAAAATGCAGGTACATCTGTGGATAATCTACTATGCAGATGTATAACTTGGAAGGATTCATAAAATCACTAATGCTTGAAGCAGCGTCTCTTATCGATAGACCTTAGAGATGTCGGCTAAGCCTTGGAACTCAATATTGACATATGGAGAGCACCGATTATTACATACAACTGTTTGGAGGGCAACGAAGAGCTCAATTAATCAAGTCACGACGTGTGTCTGCGCCGCCGCCTTAAAAAGTGTATTTGGGTTGAATTAATTCAGCGAATCTAGCTGGAAATAGCCTCAATTCTGGTCCGCAAAGCTTAGGTGGACTTTATCCGGCTGAAATATGCCACCCCGAGAGGTCTAAATGGCTTCGTTCGCTCCCTACACGTACATCCAATGTCCCTGTGTCGATTTGACAAGCCGATCCCGCCCGGTGGACGACGCGCCCTCGCCTACTTCCCAGGATTCGCACGACGACGACGATGATCGGGCGTTCGATCCGCGTGCGCCGCGGTCAAACTACAGCTTGTATCCTATAGAGTACTTGCTGTATTGCGATGTGTGCTCTCAGATCCGCTGCCCTCGCTGTGTCGCTGAGGAGCTTGCGACAATCTACTGTCCGAACTGTCTGTTCGAAGTTGGAAGTAGTAGTCTGAAGACTGAGGGGAATAGGTATGAAGCCACAATCGTCTAATTAATGACTGATCTTAGGCCGCATCTACCATACATGTAGTGTTAACACCTTGCGTAGATGCACTCGTAGCTGCTTCCAATGCCCGATCTGTATAGGACCGCTAGCCGTCCAGTCCCTCGAATCAGCGCCGGAACCCTCGCTCCTAAGCGCAGAACGCGCAAGCCCGGTACCCCCATCCGGACCATGGATCCTAGCCTGCTCGTACTGCAACTGGAACTCATCTGAGATCGGCGTCAAGTTCGACAAGCCGCAGGGGATCTTCTCCCAGCTCCAAAAACTCCGTCATGGCGAGGACCACTCTAAACACACTACGCCCGGGGACATTTCCCCGACGAAAAGCGGCCACGAGGCGGATACACCCAAGGCGAGGTTCGCGGCGCTGAAGGCGTTTTATAACGCTCAGAATAACCTGAACTCGACAAACACGGGTGGACTCGCCGGTATTGGGGATTTCGGGTTCAACTCGCCGGGTGCTCTCTCGCGCATCATGAACCTCTATTCCGGCAACACCGCCAGCGGTCTCAAGCCCAAGGCCAAGTCCAGCATGATGCGGGAGGCGGACTCCGCAGGCGAAGGCTTCCGCGTCGCCGATCTAGACGATAGCACCGCAATCTCGAAGCTGCGCCGCGACGGCTGGGAGGGCACCGTCGCAAGCGACCAGGCAAAATCGCAAGTAGAAGAAGGCGCACGCTTCGCGGACGAGCTGTGGCCGATCCCGTACCTCCTGCGAACGAAGCGCTCGAAGCGGTGCCCCGTATGTCGGCACATCATCAGCAAGCCCGAGTCCAAAGTCAGCAACACGCGGTGGCGCATCCGTCTCGTCGCCAACAACAACATCCCCTCCATCACTATCAAGCCGCTCAACCCCCCTATAACCTCGGGTCTCTTGAAGCCGCTACAACCCGTGCAATACCTCCTGACATTCAAGAACCCCATTTTCGACGAGATCAAGGTCACGCTCGCGACACCGGCTACTACCCCGGGCCGCTTCGCGTCCAAGGTGACGGTGCTGTGCCCCCAGTTCACCATCGACGCTAATACCGACACCGACATGTACTTGGACGACGTGCTGAAGGACGGGGACAAGGATGGCCGGCGGCGGCGGGGTGACGAGGGTACGACGCATCAGGCGGAAGCGGGTAAGATATGGGAGAGGGGCCGCAACTGGGTTAGTATCGTGGTTGAGGTCGTCCCGGCATCACTCCGCGTAGAGGAGCCCTCCGGCTTGCTTGGGGACGAAGGTGGACCGGATCTGAGCCCGCTGAAGGAAGATGAAGACGTGTTGGAGATACCCATGTTTGTACGATTGGAGTGGGAGGGCGATGTATCACAGGATCAAGTGGGAAGTACTACGGCGGGCAAGGAAAAGGACTCGAGGGAGAAGAAAGAACTGGCGTACTGGTGCGCCATTGGCATTGGTCGGATCAGCCAGGAATAGCTAGAGAATCTACGATACCCCGAAGATGAAGACATGTAAGGATCATGAAAAAAGAAGTCACTGATTATTAACGTAATTCATTCATTGTGATTATCATCAGAAAACCAGCTTGTCAATTAGTCCACAAGCTATCTAGACGCCGTGCCAGTAATGTTTTTTTGGCCCACCAGATTGCCATGCTGTCATTACCAATGAAACACGGAGTAAATGCCAAACTTCCCAGACCCAGCCCAGATCACAACCGCTTACCCCTAGTACTCGGTGACACTGGTTTGGGGAAACTCGAAGTTGACGTTTCGGCCCGTCAGGCGGCGGTAGACCTCGGAGTAGGTGTCGAGGCGGTAGTCAACGCCACCACGCTCCTTCTCGTCGAGGATGACCTTGAGGAGCTTGCTGCCGTCCTCCTTGGTTCGGAGACGCTTGCCGACGATCTCGACGGGGTAGACGAGGTCAGTCAGGATGGCATCGTGAACGGCGGTCAGAGTTCGCGAACGAGGTCGCTTCTGCTTGAGGGTGTTGCGCGAGCGGGCAGAACGCTTGGGTCGGGGTAGGATGCGGCGCGAGGCCAGGATCAAGACGTGGCGATCGGAGAACTTCTTCTCGAGCTCACGAGTGAGACTACAGATGCGGTGCACCATTAGCGACTATTTCTAAGCGATTAGGCAGTGCGAATGATTGCAAACTTACCGCTGCTGGACTCGGTGGAAGCCCTGGAGGGATGGGACGGGGACAAAGATGACAATTGCCTTCTTGCCGTGGCCAACTTCGATCTAATCAAGACCCCAAAGTCAGCAGGCGAGCTCCAGGACACATAATAAAATTGTGTTCCTTGGACCGCTTCCCGTCCTATTCCACTGATATTGCTAGTTATATTCCTATGCCATTTATACCGAACCCGTCACAGTTGGTTGCAACAACTGTAGACAAGCCGTTTGTAGCAAAGAATTGCACGATCGAGTCGAATAGGGTCGGTCTAAAGCGATCCCAGGTAGACAATCGGGAAGGGATTTATTCATTGGCTTCTCACCTCTCGGGCAGAGACGAACTGCAGGGGTCGGAGAGCAGCCTTCAGGTCGGCAGTGTTGGTCTCGAGGTCGTAGAGAGCATTGGCGATGCTGACCTCCAGCTCCGACGGGTTTTGGCGCGAAGGGCTGTTAGGCGCGATCTTGTTCAGAGCGGCACTCATGATTGCGGCTTTTGTTTTGTTACTAGAAGGGAACAAAGTCGCAAAGGAGTGGACGGCGAGATGGTGGTGGGTTGGATAGAATTGAAGTCGCGAGGTTGTTGAAGTTGCGGCTCGTGCTTATCGAGAAATTTCAGATTTGTTTGAATGGATTTTGCGGAAATCAATTAAAGTTGTGGTAAGTGCTCGGGCCACTCAGGGCTTTCCAGGCAAGCGATTTCTTAGGACGGAAAGGCGCTGTGGCTTGACGGGGTGGCTTGGTACCTTGTTTCCTACCAGGAGCTACCGAGGTACCTGTTTATCGGCCGATAGACAGCTGATTTCCCAATTTGTACATAGTTTTTCCCAACACTCCCAACATCGAACACCTTACATGGCCGTGCACTTGAACAATTTAATTTCTTGTTGTTGGTACTAGGACAGACATCATTGTATCCCCGTCGCCAAACCAGTCCTGTGGAATATAGATGTTCTTCGAAGATGTATCCATACAGCAAAAACCTTCCATACCAGTATAGCATCATGCAATATCTAAGAAGTCGGTGTTGAAACTGCTCGAGCCTCCAACTTCCAAGTGTTTATAGTCCGCCTCCACTGGATCTCATGGAAATAATGATCTACACTTACGGAAAAGTTCCATGCGGGCTCAGATGGGTTAACGGGGGCCTGAATGCTACTCCAGCCTCACCGACCAAAGCGAGTATTGTGGAACTCTGCGTCCAGCTTTCCAACCTCGAAGTCTCCGTTTATACCGGTTTTCCTTGCAGGTTAGAGTAGACGATGGTAAGTTGTGGTGACGATGCGAGGCTTTATATCACCTTCAAACGAAGTGATCGGTCTCAATCGGTAGGGCAATGCAGTTTTGGCTGCAGGAGGTCTTACATATACGAAGTATTGGGAAGCAGTTCGGGATTACCTAGGTAGGTAGTGTAAGGCAGACCCAGCCTTCTGGGGAAGTCCATCAAAAGTCCATCGACGATGGGTATGTCCAATATAACTTAACACTGCGCCTCCGCAGCGACCGAACACGCACCCAATCAGACACGGGAGATATTCCTAAATTAAGACATAGATACATCGCTCGACAGCAGATCCAACCCTTGCTTCTTCTGACGGGGATTACTGTCACGGCAGCTAGTGGAAGCTCCGAGTCGGTCCCCGTGTCTAGTCTAATCACTCAAAGTTCATGGTTGCTCGATATGTTCGCCAATCCTTCGCTGAAGGCTTTGGTAGCTACCTGGCAACGGATTGGATCTACGTATCCCTTGGGTGGCCAAAGATGTTGAGCCAACTCTTAAGCCTGTTGGTTGCTACTGCACCAACCCCGCGAGGGATGCTTCTTTCACTCCCCAAGGTTTCCAAGGTTCCCAATTTCTCTTCCAGGTTTACAGCAGCCAAGCTGTTATTGTATATGTAATTCCTAATTTACCTACCTAATAACCAGCTCACTCCCACAATGTCAGTCACTCGCTCTGATCTCGGGTTGTCGTGCCCAGCCAAGGGCAAGTTCTACGTCTGC